AAATTAAAAAAAAGCATACATTTTAAAAAAAATCATTTTTACATGGCTATTATATGATATATATATATATATATATATATATATATATATATATATATATATATATATATATATATATATATATATATATATATATATATATATATATATATATATAAAGTAAACTCATCACAAGCCGTGCTTTTTATTGCATCGTAGTGTCTTATTATAGGTATTCGAGTAAGGTTTGTTTATATAACGACTTACATTTATTTTATATTAACTTTTACTCTTTGCATAATGTAAAGAAAATATTAAATTGCTAAAACATATTAAAATGATTAATGTCAAATATCATTTTCATTTAGATTCGTAGAAAAAGTGCATGCATTTTAATAATAATAGGGTCGAAAAAACGAATTATTTAAACTTTTTGTAATTTTCCAAGGAAGGTAATTTAAAAATAAATGTAACTTTTTTTTGGTTATGTTTGTGTTGTGTTTGTGTTTGTGCTGTGTTTGTGTTGTGTTTATGTTGTGTTTGTGTTGCGTTTGTGTTGCGTTTGTGTTGTGTTTGTGTTGTGTTTGGTTGTGTTTGTGCTGCGTTTGTGTTGTGTTTAGTTTTGTTCTGTTCCCAAGTCAGTACATTTAAAAGATATATATATATATATATATATATATATATATATATATATATATATATATATATATATATATATATATATATATATATATAACGACAACAACCTTGCTTAAAAAGGAAACACTTGCTGTGATGGGGGGGGGGTAATATATACGTTCTGGTCTATGTATCTATATTCTGAATACTGCTATTAAGGAGGACTGGAACACTCTTATTTTTCCGCAGACACTAATTAACGATATTAACAACTTCGTTCATGAAATAACATTAACTTTATTATAACACACTTACAGATCTATAACACAATATCAAAATACGTCCGTCTTCTACTTTGGCTAACCCCCAACAAACTTAACTGCTGCTTCCTACGTTATCGGTACATTGTCGCGTCATGCTCACGTCACACTCACGTTACAAATATTTTATCAAACACGCGCGCAATACTCTCGCACCAAATCGTCTACCGTCAAATTCACACCGTCCTAAGTAACCTCTACTAGCCTAGTCTTATTCCATATTCCTACGCTTTGACACTTGCCTTTTGTTTTATTAAATTCAGTTTCTTTTTTGCAACTTTATAATATTTTTATTTAGAATTTTCAAAAAAGCTCTCTTTTTTATTTTTGGTAATCTGAGCATTGTCAATTCAATGTTTTCTTACATTTAGAAATGGGGTCATTTATAATTGATGTTACGCTTTTTTGGACGATTTTTACCCCCCCCCCCCCTTCCCCTCCGTCACACATCGGCACGAAAAACCAGACCCCCTCCCCCTTAAAATGAAGTCACATCTCTGACTACAATCCCCCTAAAATTACTGTTGTTTTTTTTAAGCGATATTTTTCACAAATCTTGTCTGAACTCTGTCAACAGAGTGTTTTAATCAATTTCTATTACAATATACTAAAACAGCTTTCTAAAACGCGAAATAACGGCTAAAATTTGTTTTCTAGCATTGCTTTTTACTTTCTCGTATATACGAAGTATAGAGAAAGTCTTGTAATCGTGCAAAAATAAAATCGAGATTTTTACTAATCTCGACGTTTTACCCCTCACTGATACGGAAAAACATAATTTTGCAATCTTGTCGGTATGTCAGTGTGTGTGTGTGTGTGTCAGTCTGTCTGTGTCTAAACACGATAACTTGAGTACCGTTATAGCTAGGTTGAAGAAATTTCATATATAGGTATTTTATCAAAATCGTAGATCCGTATCAACTTTTGAGCGATTTCCGATAACCGGAAGTGGTACTTTTTCAAAAGCCTATAACTTAAGTACTATTTCAGATAGATAAATGAAATTTCACATGTAAGTTAAAGATCTAATTCTCTACCTTTTTTAAAATTTTGAGTAATTTCCGTCAACCGGAAGTACTAATTTACGCTATTTCCGATTTCTCAAAAAACGCATGTAAATTTATAAAGTACTAATAATATTGCCCACTATTATGCACATTTTGTTTTGGCGTTCGCTTGGTGCGCAATTCTTTTTTTCTATGAGATTCTATTCTATTTTTAAAAGTTGAAGTAATTAAAAACCATATTCTATATTCCATAGTCTATATTCCAAGTTATATAAGAATATTCGAGAAATTTTAGGGGAGATCAATCCCGGTTTATTTATAATGCATAAGTGTGACGTCACACCATCTGAACCACCCTCCCCCTCATCACACACCGTCACAAAATTACGGACCCCCCCCCCCCCCTGCCATCTTCGACTGTGACGTCATTTATAGTCTACTCAAATAAATCATAAAATCTATTAATTGCAGACAAGTGCAATGTTTCATCATACGTTGGCTAAGCTTACTTATATCTAGAACACATCTAAATAATAGATGGTTTGGAACAGTGCATTTGATGTAGTCGTGAGATGATGTATGGCATCTGATGATGGTGTGGGGATAGGGGAGGTGGTTTTAGTTTGTCAACCAATCACTCATAGCTAACCTAAATTCCAACCACGTGTTATTGGTTTACAAGATCAGAGTTAGAAAGCTAATGTATTCGGTGTACTAGGTAGTGTGTGTTTTGTTTATTACGTGAACATTCATATTGAAACTGTAGCCTACTGGGGGCCATATAAACAACATAGAACATTGAGATAAAGACATCATCAGAACAAGGTAACAAAACATACAAAGATGAATAAAAAACACTTGGAAAAAAAAGCAATGCATGATAACAGAGACGACTAGACATATTAAAACACTGAAACACAAAAACCTGAATTTTTTTTTATAATTTTGGGAAAAAAATGCATTCTAAAACTTAAGACTATTATAAATAAAAATTTGGATAATTTAATTTATTTGATCAAATTTCAATATTCTATACACACTGCTAAATATCTAGAAGGTTTGATCAAAAGAAAAGGGTCATTTGTTCAGTTAGACACCGATGTCATATTCTCTTTTCGTTGAAGAACCCTCTTGTAGTACAGCAGTATGACTCGTCTATTTGCAACACAGGACGTGAAGATGGCAACTCCTTGTAAACCGTTCAACACTATGGAGATATACCTGTGGGATAAAGACAGGGGGATTATCTGCAACACTGTGGAAATATACCTGTGGGGTGTACAAAGGGTGACTGTCCAAATCATGATTAAAATGTAGACATATTCCAAACTCAAACACTTTGTTACTATATTTATATACACAGACACACCTCATCTACTAAAAATAAAAAAAATTACTGTCAAAAACTGAAACACAAAAAAAAAAAAAATACAATAATAAATTTTAGATGTATTCAATAGTAAAAAAGTAGAGATAAATAGTCATACACACTAATACACGCACAACTACAACAACAGTTCAATTAACTCGTAGATGCACACACTTACACATATTTATTGAAAATGGACCCATCAACACTGACACATCACTGCCTTAACTTACCTGAGAACATCTCTGCCTGTAATCTACATGAGATCATTACTGTCTGTAACCTACCTGAGAACATAACTGTCTGTAATCTACATGAGAACATTACTGTCTGTAACCTACCTGAGAACATCACTGTAACCTACCTGAGAACATCACTGTAACCTACCTGAGAACATCAACGTCTATAACCTTTACGGAGAACATCACTGTAACCTACCTGAAAAAATCACTGTCTATTACCTACCTGAGAACAGCACAAGACAGCAACTGTCCAAAAAGCTCCCGTAGATGTTGACAGCTTGATGTACATGTAGAGGTCATTGACCCGATTGTACCTGTCGACCATCATGGCCCTGATCGTGTAGATTGTAATCAAAGTTGGAACAGAGAGGCCAACGTTACAGAGGACAATGATGGCCAAAGGGCCAACCATAGATACCACTGGGGAAGGGAAGAATTAGGCCTCTTTAAAATAAGGTATTATTATATTCGTATATTCTACATGTTATATTATTTAAATTACCATGAATTAAACATCATACACATGCAAACATACTGATAAGAAACGGCGAGTCCAAGTAACATCGGCCATTTCCGTATATAATCGTCGTGTAGCCCGATGTCGCCAAGCTTGACACGACGACCGTGGTGACGATGCTGGCTGGGACAGCCAAGGAGAAGACAACTCGTTTAGTTAACATACACAACTCTTCATTGGACGAGACAAGGGAGACGACTCGTATGCTCCTGAATACGGTGAAGGCGTGGAAGGTACAGATTAACGTCCAGACAAACATCCACAGCCACAGAAAGTGGGTGGAGATCCCGATCACCTGACACATGTAACTGGGGCCGTGCCTGGGGGGGGGGGGGATGATGACAGTTATATAACAGAAAAATATTTTAACTATTTAAAGTACAACAAACGTAAATATCATAGGCAAAGATGATCCAATTTTTCTCCCAACGAGAAAAGTGTTAAGATTTTTTTTATGAAAAAAAAATTATTCTTCAAGGTTCTTCTAATGAAGGCACCAAAAGTCATTTCGTTGGCGTTAATTAAAAATACTTATCAGGAAAAGAGAACTAAATATGGGAACAATGGCCGCTTATATCTAAAAAAAATTATTTAGACTAACCCGTGTTTTATAACTGTGTCATTTAAATAATTCATTTAGTTTAAAGAGTTAGGTTTATAATCGGGATCAAAAAATTTGATTAGCACGATAAAGACTAATAAGTTTATAAATAAATATGTCATAGAGAATCGCATCTGATTGTCTTCCTCATTGCACGAAACCTATCTATAGCTAGCCTGTCATGTAGACATATCCATCGCCGTCATTTTCTGACCTCTACGATTAGCATAAAAGAAATCAGCACTTTAAAAATGTGTCAAAGGTCAATTGCAAAATGTCATCCAGAAAAACACTTAACCCGGAACCTAGTTCAATTAAAGCTTGTGTTAAAACGTCTGTGCTCAAATGTTCTCTAAACATTTTTATTTCCTTGTTTTCGCTAAACTTTACATTACCCTCTAATTGAAGAAATATTTTCTGGATTTTTAAATTCGACTAAATTAATTTCTCTGTGTAATTTTAATATACTCTTTTCGCTTTATTCTTTTTTTTTCAACACCCCCTTCCCACACACACACACACACACACACACACACACACACACACACACACACACACACACACACACACACACACACACTTGTTTATTACTCAGAAACGCAGGACTCATTTAAAAAAAAAGAAACATCTATTTCTGATTCACTTCCTAGAAGAACTGGACACTGAAACAACTGAATTCAAAAACTATCAGAATCACTGGCTCGCTCTACCAACGGAGAACGAAGGTATGTTTAGTTCTATTTCTTATAACTTTCTTTACTGTTTATTGGACTGTAACAACAGTTAGTTCATAGAGCTTAATGTTAATAATTAGCAATGTTAAACTAGCTAAATAATTGCCTTTAACGTTGTGTACATGATAGTATTTAAAGTTTGTGAGTTAAAATCATTTTTATTTAAAATTGCTGTCAAATTTCAAGGTTTAAAAATCTGCGATTGGCTACAGTTTAACACCTTAAAGTTTTGGTTTGTACTTGGAAAGATTACCGTGTATTTTCACTCTGTGATTTTACTCGCCCCTCAGATGTTTGTGCTGGCTATCTTCGCTCTGACCTTGACATTGGCATCTGCGACTCTGGAGGCCAACTGGCTCATCTTCAAGGCCAAGCACAACAAGACGTACTCGTCTTTCGAAGACGGGTACCGTCGTTACATCTGGCAGACGAACCGGAAGAAGATCGAGGAACATAACAAGCTGTATAGGCTAGGGATCAAAAGCTTTTATCTGCAGGAGAATAAATATGCTGATATGGTGAGATGGGGGATAACTGTGTTGACATTTTATGGGGAAATAAATGTGGTTGTTTTATAAAATGGGAAAAATATGCTTATTAAGAGGAGATAAATATGCAGGTGTTCACTGGTGGTGAGCGGGGGTAGGAATTTTAACTTGTGAAGAATTTTTAAGAGAGGCGAATCATATACGCTGAGGGTGATGGGTAGAGGGTGTGTAGTGTTGATTGTGTGATATGTTGATGATATGATGGGTTGATGGTGTGAAAAGTTGATCATATGATGGGTTGATGGTTTCATAAGTTGATGGTGTGATTGTGTGATGGGTTAATGACGTGTAACTGATTGTTTGTACAACATACGTCTATTTAATAATAATACAATTTTTTTTAATATGAGTTAATTTTGATGAAATTGACATGATAAGAGAAGTAGATTTAATGCCAAATCGCGATGTGAGATTGTATGATTTTTTTCAGCTGGCTTGGTAAATAGTGGGAGTTTTTGCCTATAGGTAGCGTTTCCTTAATGTTAAAAAAAAATGGGTATTTATAAAGATACTTGAGGACAGCAAGTATGCAGATAGGTAGCTGGGGTCGGCAATATATTATTTCCTTAACATATAGAGTTTACCTGTTTTTGTTATTACCTCGGTATTCGACGGAATTCTGTTTTCGACCTCGAGTCTGTACTTTCACCAAAACGAGTTAGGTATCTATTAGTGCTGAGTGAATCATCTTTAGGACATAGCGACCGAACTCGAGACGTCTGTGCTAGCTATTAATCTCTACCACTCGACCACACCAATACAAATAGCTGATAATGTAAACCAAAGTACAAAGTGTCAACGTTTCTTTCCCTAAGTAAGTTCCATTTTTATTCTTCAGATACACGTAGGCTACAACACTGATTATCATTGTAAAATATGTTCATTATTTTCCCTCTTGATTACGCTGAAGAGTAAAATTGTTGTGTGTTTTATCAGACCAGCGAAGAGTTCACCAAAACTATGAACCGTCTCCGGATCACAGTGGAACCCGGTAACCTCACCACAGGTTCATTCAAGCTCGACCTGCCGTCGTCAGTCGACTGGCGACAGAAAGGCGTGGTCACCGGTGTCAAAGATCAAGGTGATTGCGGGTCATGCTGGGCTTTCTCCACGACCGGGTCAATCGAAGGTCAACATGCCCTGGCCACTGGCAAACTCGTTAGCCTGTCCGAATCTAATTTAGTTGATTGCTCGACAGGTAGGGAAAAGTGGAAAATATTTTTAAACCGAAACAATTTTTGATAAAAATAAAACTTAATTTTTTTTTTACCATTTTACAATTCCTTTTTACTTATCAAGAAAAGTACCAATAGACACTCACTTTAAAATTATGAGTATATTATTTAAAAAAATATTTCTAATGTGCTTTAATTGCCCCCACTGTTTACAGAAAACGATGGATGCGAAGGTGGATGGATGTCGAAAGCTTTTGCTTACGTCATCCATAATAACGGTATTGATAGAGAGGCCAGCTATCCTTATACGCCAAAGGTAGGAAACTATAGATTATTGAATTTGATGTGTCGCATGTAGGAAATTATAGATTAGTGAACTGAGTGAATTATATATATATATTTTAATATTTATGAAAAACAAATGTATCATTAAGTTTATATAAATGTTTATCAGGTATTGTTTATTTGCTTAGGAAAAAAGTGACAATGAAATCTTTAATTAAAAGTTTTTTAATAAAACACATAAAAATTGTTCAATTTTTAAATTTGATTTGTTCTTGTTTTATTTTTTTCCCCCAGCAAGGTACCTGCGCTTTTTCAAGCGCGGCAATGGGGGCAAAAATCAGCTCCTACAAAACTATCCTAAGGGGCAGCGAGCTTGCTTTACAACAGGCTGTGGCTGGGGTATGTAACGGCCTCGATAGTTATGTCTTTTTAGAAACTCATTAGGCTGAATTATTCATTAAAAATAATTCCATTATAAGACAAGCTGGCTTGGTTCTAATTATTTACACAAACGCATGCATATATTTTACACACTTTGAATCATGTGTTTAGGGTCAGTTCTATGTTAAGTTTAGGACTAGGGCCATGGATAGGTCTTGAGCAAGTGAATGGTACGATTAAAGCTTGAGTTAGGTTTATAGTAGAGCTACAAGCAGGTTAAGGTTTAGATTATACTGCAGCAAAGCTGTCGAGATGGTAAAAAGATAGTAATAATTGTTTTTTACGAGATCAAGGAAGTAGTCCATACTTTGACTTTATATGGAAGGCTTTGGGTGTAATATGGGTAATACATTTCCCATAGAGTATATTAGACGTAGGGTCGATACACTTTTCTGTAGACATCTTTAAATGAAGGCTTTGGGTGTAATATAGGTACTACATTGTCATTGAGTCTATTGCACGTAGGGTTTATACACTTTTCTGTAGACATCTTTGAACGTTTATTTGACAAGTTGGGCCCATCAATATTGCTATAGACCTCAGTCACCCTTTCAACGTTAGAGTTGTTATAGACCCCAATTACTCTTTCATATTTTCATTTGTCATGTCGGGCCCATCAGCATTGCTATAGACGCAAATCACCCTTTCATATTCAGTGTTGCTATAGACGACAGTCACCCTGTCATAGTTTCCTTTGGCAGGTCGGGCCCATCAGCGTTGCTATAGACGCCAGTCACCAGTCCTTCCAGCTGTATGGTGGAGGTGTGTACTCAGAGCCTGCGTGCTCCAGCACATCACTCGATCATGGGGTGCTGGCAGTGGGTTATGGAACAGATGGCGCTAAGGACTACTGGATTGTCAAAAACAGGTATTTGAAACAGTTGTTTTTGGTTCTGAATTAGCTTCAGGTGGGGTTTCTATGAATGTGGGTTTTCTGCATGTAGAGGTCTATACATGTTTTTGTTTTTACATCGGGTGTCATGTTTTTTTTTCCCACATCCGGAGTAATGTTTTCGTTCTCCACAGCTGGGGTTATGTTTTATTTTATATCTAAGGTAATGTTTTTGTTTTCCACATCAGGGGTCATGTTTTTATTTTCCACAGCTGGGGTGTATCTTGGGGACTGAGCGGCTACATCAAGATGATCAGAAATAAGAACAACAATTGTGGGATAGCCTCATATGCTCTGTACCCCATCGTATAAAGAACATGAGAATCCATCTCGTTAAAATAGTTTGTTCACTTTTCCTAAATCTTTACCCCTTATATTGCTAAAAAATCACAATACTAAATCCTTACCCCCTGAGCTAACCTTGCTATCACACACAAACCTTTGCTTTCCTATTAATCAGAAATCTATTTTGCTTTATTTAAAACTTTCTGTGACGTAGCTTATTGCAGAATTATTTACATGATACAATTACAATGGTACCGTTAAGCCAAATGCACCTATTTGTTAGTTATATATTTATTTCATTAAAAAAGGAATTTATCTAATTTTTGTTAATTTTTATGTTTTTATTTATATTTGTGATTTTAATTTAAATTTACAAAAAAAAAAAAAAAGGTTTTTATCAATTTTTATTAAAAATACTTGACTGTTGAGACGGCCTTCGTGAGTGGGTTAAGTGCGGTAAATTCTTTTTGTGAAATATAATTTGTGTATCTGTTCTACCTGTCGATGATACCAGTTTGTATTCTACGCTTTCGTTTTCGTTTTCTATTGATGACCCAGTGTTTCCGGGCACGTTTTATCAATATGTAATAATATCGCTCTAAAATACGGTTCCCAGAAAGAACCGCAACGGAAAAAAGCGCAACGGAAAAAAGCGCACACGGAAAAAAGCGCAAAGAGAAAAAAGCGCACACGGAAAAAAGCGCAAAGAGAAAAAAGCGCACACAGAAAAAAGCGCAAACGGAAAAAAGCGCAAACAGAAAAAAGCGCACACGGAAAAAAGCGCAAACAGAAAAAGCGCAAACGGAAAAAAGCGTAAACAGAAAAAAGCGCACACAGAAAAAAGCGCAAACGGAAAAAAGCGCAAACAGAAACAGAAAAATGCGCAACCAGAAAAAACACAACGAAAAATGTGCAAAAGAGAAATTTAGCACAAATACTATATGGACTAGATGACACATTTATACATGACTGTTAGGGCTATTGTGAGAGTGTCGTGTTTGATCACGTGACCTACTACCATTTAAAGCGTACCACTACCATCCGAATTCCTATCACCACGATACAGGCGATAATCACTTTACACAATGCCTATTATTTTCTTGACGATTTCAGGGTTCAGGAGTAATCTCAGCTAGGGCTCCCGCTTCAGTTCAAACATAGTGAGGGACACACACACACACGTTCAGCTTACATTCCCCTGTGTAGGGTGGGAATGTGGGGTGGTATTAGAAATCCGTCGTTCAAATATTTGTGTAGAGGAGCAGATGGAAAACCTTTCGACCAATTAAATATTTAACTTCCTCCTTCTCCCTCAGTGTGCGCTGCTATTCATATCACTTCTGCTTTGAATATATGCCTTGGCCCCAATACTTCCGTGTCATAAACATGTCGTTCAATTTAGACTTCTGCTAACCATTTTTATCAGATCTCGACGATCGGGAAAACACGTAAATAGTTTGTTTCGAAATAGAATTGAAAACTAGAAGAAGTATTTTGTGTATTCATATTACACCCCCAACATCATTGTCTTTAACAATAAATTACTACCTTTAGAAAACCTCTATACTAATTCGTCAAAGAATTGCTCTTTTAAGGCATAAAAGGTTTTAGGGGCCTTGTAGAGACTTTAAAGATGAATACTAAACCATTTATAAAGGCATTCTATAAAGGCATATCCACATTATAGAAACATCACTAGTAAAAATCTAGTTTTAAGAAATATCGTAATAATTAATTACAACTCTAGATTGAATATTCTCTATAACAGTTTCTCTAGTGATTATCCCCATTTTTAAAATTGTTTAAATTAACCACCCCCCCCCCCTTGTTCTACTATGGCTAACCCACCCCCCCCCCCCCCCCCAAAAAAAAACAAACAAAACAAACTTTACAGCTGCGTCCTACATCATCGCTACATTGTCGCGTCATTCTCACGTCACACTCACGCCACAAATATTTTATTAAACACACGCACAATACTCTCTCACCAAATCGTCTACCGTCAAGTTAAAACCGTCCTTAGTAGCCTCTACTAGTCTAGTATAATTCCATATATCTACGCTATGACACTTGCCTTTTGTTTTATTAAATTCAAAGTTTATTTTTTGCAACTTTATACAAATTTTATTTATAATTTTCAAAAAAGCTGCTCTTTCTTTATGATTTGGTAATATGAGCATTGTCAATTCAATGTTTTCTTATTTTTAGAAATGGGGTCATTCATAAATGATGTTACGCTTTTTTGGACGATTTTACCACCCCCTCCCCTTTGTCACACATCGGCACAAAAAACCAGACCCCCCCCCCCCCAAAAATGAAGTCACATCTCTGACTACATTCCCCCTAAAATTACTGTTGCATTTTTTAAAGCGATATTTTCCCCAAATCTTGTCTGAACTCTGTCAACAGAGTGTTTTAATCAATTTCTATTACAATTTATTAAAACAGCTTTCTACAACGCGAAATAACGGCTAAAATTTGTTTTCTAGCATGGCTTTTTTTATAATGCATAAGTGTGAAGTCACACCATCTGAACCTCTTCATCACACACCGTCACAACATTACAGATTTCCCCTCCCCTCCCCTCTTCCAGAGTGATGTCGTTTATAGACGACTAAAATATATCATAAAATCTATTAATTGCAGACAAATGCAATGTTTCATCATACGTTCGCTAAGCTTACTTCCATTGTTTATTAAAAATCAATATGATGACTATTTAAATGAAATATAGACTATGTTTAATCACATCTTTGGTGAATATTGCAACAAAACTTATAAATATTCAAGATATTCGTGATATAAGATATGAACGAATCTTTATATTCATTCCTTTATTTATAAACCCATTGCAGTACTATCTGGAACACGTCTAAATAATAGATGGTTTGGAACAGTGAATTTGATGTAGTCGTGAGATGATGTATGGCATCTGATGATGGTGTGGTGACAGGGGACGTGGTTTCAGCTTCTCAACCAATCACTCATAGTTAACCTAAATCTCAACCAAATGTTATTGGTTTACAATATCGGAGTTAGAAAGTTAATAAATTCTGTGTACAGTGTAGTGGGTGTTCTTTTTATTACGTGAACATTCATAATGAAACTGTAGCTTACTGGAGATCATATTGAAACAACATAGAACATTGAGATATAGGCATCATCAGTACAAGGAAAAAACGCACGAAGACGAATAAAAACACTTTTTAAAAAAACACAAAGCATTATAACAGAGACCACTAAACGTATTAAAACACTGAAACACAAAAATCTGAATTTTTAAAAAATATGTGAAAAAATGCATTCTAAAACTTACGACTATTATAAATAAAATTTTGGATATTTTTTTTATTTATTTGACTAAATTTCAATAAACACTGTTTTCTATCTAGAAGGTTTTATAAAAAAAAGGTCATTTGTTCAGTCAGACACAGATGTCATATTCTCTATTAGTTGAAGAACCCTCTTGCAGTACAGCAACATGACTCTCCTATTGGCTATATAGGACGTGAAGATGGCGACACATTGTAAACCGTTCAACACTATGGAGATATACCTGTGGGATAAAGACAGGTGGATTATCAGTAACAATATGGATAGGTGTACATGGGGTGATTATTCCAGTGCGCAGACCTTTGATCTCAGGTGCTTTGACCATAGGGGGCTTGTATATGTGGTTTGACCACTGAGGGTCTTTGACCATAGGGGCTTTGATAACAAACGCTTTGTCTATATATTGTAAGGATTAATTTTAAAAGTTGTGTAATTATATTTTAAATAACGGCAGGATGTAATAATATGTTAATTCATCATGTATAATACAAGTAATCTAAACCCTACTAGTATTACTTCTTTGACTATACTGTTGGCATGTTTTTTATCCTTTGTTATCCTTTATATTTATGTATTTTCAAGTACTTCTACTATATTGATTTGTGAAATTTGTTATATGTCGCATTATTTGTGTTCTATTTATAGTTAAAATAAATTTTCGAGGCGTAGCACCAGCCTGTAAGTGGAGATTAAAATATCTTTCTTGACATTTTTAGTACGTTAATTTTTATTAATTGACTCCCATGAAACATGTATAAAATCGTATTAATTGTATCACAAATTTAAATGAAATAACAATTTATAATTTCTATTTTAACATCTATATATTATGGTTAACCCCCCTCTGTGGTCAAAGCCCCGTTGTGGTCAAAGCTCCACTGTGATCAAACCCCCTATGGTCAAAGCCCATATGGTCAAAGCTCCGCTGTGGTCAAACCCCCTATGCTCAAATCCCCTATGGTCAAAGCACCTGTGGTTAAAGCGCCTAGGAATATTATCCTAATCATGATTAAAATGTAGATATATTTCACACAAAGACACTTTGTTTAAATATTTACATACGCAGACATACCTCCTCTACTACAAGAAAATAAATTAGTACCAACAACTGAAAATTAAAAAAAAAACAATAAAAATTATAGATTTACTTAATAGTACAAACGCAAAGATAAATAGTCATACACACACTAATAAACACAGAACCACAATAACAGATAAACAATATAATTAACTCGTAGATGCACACACATACATACACACATATATTTAAAATTGACCTATCAACACTAAGACAGCACTGCTTTAACTTTACTGACAACATCACTGTAATCTACCTTAGAACATCACTGTCTGTAATATACATGACAACATCACTGTCTTTAGCCTACCTGAGAACATCACCGTCTGTAGCCTACTTGAGAACATCACTGTAACCTACCTGAGAACATCACTGTCTGTAATATACATGACAACATCACTGTCTTTAGCCTACCTGAGAACATCACCGTCTGTAGCCTACTTGAGAACATCACTGTAACCTACCTGAGAACATCACTGTCTGTAGCCTCAGACAAGACAGCAACTGTCCAGAAAGCTCCTGTAGATGTTGACAGCTTGATGTACATGTAGAGGTCATTGACCCGATTGTACCTGTCGGCCATCATGGCCCTGGTCGTGTAGATTGTAATCAAAGTTGGAACAAAGTGGCCAACGTTACAGAGGACAATGATGGCCAGACGGCCAACCATAGATACCACTGGGGAAGGGAAGAATTAGGCCTCTTTAAAATAAGGTATTATTATATTCGTATATTCTACATGTTATATTATTTAAATTACCATGAATTAAACATCATACACATGTAAACATACTGATAAGAAAAGGCGAGTTCAAGTAACATCGGCCATTTCCGTATCCAATCGTCGTGTAGCCCGATGTCGCCAAGCTTGACACGACGACCGTGGTGACGATGCTGGCTGGGACAGCCAAGGAGAAGACAACTCGTTTAGTTAACATACACAACTCTTCATGGGACGAGACAAGGGAGACGACTCGTGTGCTCCTGAATACGGTGAAGGCGTGGAAGGTACAGATAAACGTCCTGACAAACATCCACAGCCACAGGAAGTGGGTGGAGATCCCGATCACCTGACACATTTAACTGGGGCCGTGCCTGGGGGGGGGGATGACAGTTATATAACAGAAACATATTTTAACTCTTTAAAGTACAACAAACGTAAATATCATAGGCAAAGATGATCCAATTTTTCTCCCAACGAGAAAAGTGTTAAGATTTTTTTATGAAAAACAAATTATTCTTCAAGGTTCTTCTAATGAAGGCACCAAAAGTCAATTCGTTGGCGTTAATTAAAAATACTTATCAGGAAAAGAGAACTAAATATGGGAACAATGGCCGCTTATATCTAAAAAAAATTATTTAGACTAACCCGTGTTTTATAACTGTGTTATTTAAATAATTCACTTAGTTTAAAGAGTTAGGTTTATAATCGGGATCAAAAAATTTGATTAGCACGATAAAGACTAATAAGTTTATAAATAAATATGTCATAGAGAATCGCATCTGATTGTCTTCCTCATTGCACGAAACCTATCTATAGCTAGCCTGTCATGTAGACATATCCATCGCCGTCATTTTCTGACCTCTACGATTAGCATAAAAGAAATCAGCACTTTAAAAATGTGTCAAAGGTCAATTGCAAAATGTCATCCAGAAAAACACTTAACCCGGAACCTAGTTCAATCAAAGCTTGTGTTAAAACGACTGTGCTTCAAATGTTCTCTAAACATTTTTATTTCCTTGTTTTCGATAAACTTTACATTACCCTCTAATTGAAGAAATATTTTCTCGATTTTTAAATTCGACTAATTTAATTTCTCTGTGTAATTTTAATATACTCTTTTCGCTTTATTCTTTTTATTTCAACACCCCCTTCCCCCCCCCCCCCCCCCCCCATCCCCACACACACACTTGTTTATTACTCAGAACCGCAGGACTCATTTAAAAAAAAAAGAAACATATATTTCTGATTCACTTCCTAGAAGAACTGGACACTGAAACAACTGAATTCAAAAACTATCAGAATCACTGACTCGCTCTACCAACGGAGAACGAAAGTATGTTTAGTTCTATTTCTTATAAATTTCTTTACTGTTTATTGGACTGTAACAACAGTTAGTTCATAGAGCTTAATGTTAATAATTAGCAATGTTAAACTAGCTAAATAATTGCCTTTAACGTTGTGTACATGATAGTATTTAAAGTTTGTGAGTTAAAATCATTTTTATTTAAAATTGCTGTCAAATTTCAAGGTTTAAAAATCTACGATTGGCTACAGTTTAACACCTTAAAGTTTTGGTTTGTACTTGGAAAGATTACCGTAAATTTTGACTCTGTGATTTTACTCACCCCTCAGATGTTTGTGCTGGCTATCTTCGCTCTGACCTTGACATTGGCATCTGCCACCCTGGAGGCCAACTGGCTCATCTTCAAGGCCAAGCACAACAAGACGTACTCGTCTTTCGAAGACGGGTACCGTCGTTACATCTGGCAGACAAACCTAAAGAAGATCGAGGAACACAACGAGCTGTATAGGTTGGGAATCAAAAGCTTTTATCTGCAGGAGAATAAATATGTTGATATGGTGAGATGGGAGATAACTGTATTGGTATTGTAAGGGGAAATAAATATGGTTGTTTTATAAAATGGGAAAAATATGGTTATAAAGAGGAGATAAATATGCAGGTGTTCACTGGGGGTGAGCAGCGGTGAGCAGGGGTAGGAATTTTAACTTGTGAAGAATCTTTAAGAGAGGGGAATCAAATACGCTGAGGGTGATGGGTTGAGGGTGTGTTGGGTTGATTGTGTGATATGTTGATTATATGATGGGTTGATGGTGTGAAAAGTTGATCATATGATAGGTTGATGGTTTCATAAGTTGATGGTGTGATTGTGTGATGCCTTGACGTTATGATGGGTTAATTGTGTGATGGGTTAATGATGTGGAACTGATTGTTTGTACAACATACGTCTATTTAATAATAATAAAAATAATATTTTTTAAAAATATGAGTTAGTTTTGATGAAGTTGATATGATAAGAGAAGTAGATTTAATGCCAAATCGCTGGCAGTGTTTCTTACAGACTTTTTTCTCCGGGGGGGGGGGGGGGGCACTTGAAATTTTCGGGGGGGCGGTAAACTTTCTTCGGGGGAGGGGGTGCGGACACTGTTAAAAGTATATATTTTCTATATAAATTATATAAATGTCATTTCGTTCGGGGGGGGGGGGGGGGGGGGTGGTAAAAATTTTTCGGGGGGTCGAACCCCCCGAAGAGATACCTGGAAGAAACTCTGATCGCTGGTGAGATTGTAAATAGTGGGAGTTTTTGCTATATGCGCGGGAAAAAATCACAACATTCCTTGTTTTTCGTCATGATGGGTTTCTTGCACATTTGGATACTTTTTTTTTATATAGAAAATAATAATAACTTTAAAGAGAAAAAAATATTTTATGTGTTTGAATTACGATTTTTATGACCCTATCAATTAAAAAATAATCAATTTTTCCCAATCTTACAAGCTCTCTATGAAAAGTTTTATATCCGTCATTATATTGTATTTGACATCATTGGAAAGCTGGATTTCTTATGTATTTAATAAACTTAATTTCCTACATCTCGGAAACACCCAAAGCTTACAATCGGCTTGCAGTTTACACAGATATGGTACTTTCCTGACCTAGTTTTCGTTACTTTTGGCTGTTTTTCTCAGTTCGCAGGTTTTTAACACTAAAAAGCCTACTACTTTTTTTATTTATTAAACAATGCCAACCATATTTTCAGTAAATGTTCTTGATGCGAAAATACAACTTTTATCACGAGGGAATTGTGATTGCTTTCATAGAAAAAAAGTATTTGGTAATTAATATGCACATTTTAAAACTTTTCAATACTAAAAAGGGTACGATATTTTAGACCTTGTAAAATTCTTACTAGTATTTATTTCAAAAAGTTGTCGTGACAAAAGTTTTAATATATACTGAAATATAAGCAGTTTAAATTTGATTGCTATAGATGCATAAATAAAAAAGCCATAGCATTTTTAAAAGCATCGAAACATTCAAAATGGCGGTAGGTTTTTGGGTTTCCATGACAACCAAAATTGTTTTCGACCCCCTTTTTTTTGTTTAATACTTACTTTTATATGCCAAATATGATTTAGGCTTTAGATCTTAAACTGTAAAAAAAATAAAAAATAAAACAACAGCATATCCCCTTAATGTTAAATAAAATTGGGTATTTATAAAGATACTTGAGGACAGCAAGTATGCAGATAGGTAGCTGGGGTCGGCAATATATTATTTCCTTAACATATAGAGTTTACCTGCTTTTGTTTTTACCTCGGTATACAACGGGATTGTGTTTTCAACCTCGAGTCTATACTTTCCCCAAAACGAGTTAGGTATCTATTAGTGCTGAGTGAATCATCTTTAGGACATAACGACCGAACTCGAGACGTCTGTGCTAGCTATTAATCTCTAAAGCTCAAGCACACCAATATAGATAGCTGATAATGTGTCAACGTTTCTTTCCCTAAGTTCCATTTTTATTCTTCAGATACACGTAGGCTACAACACTGATTATCTTTGTAAAATAAAATACTTAAAAAAAACTTTTTAAAAAACCACGTTTTTCTTGTGGACTAAAAAGTAGAAAATAACTATTTACATACATTTGATGACAAAAAACGTGGGTACGTTCACCATCAAATTTCCCGACCCATCTGCCCGACCCACGTTTTTTGTCATCAAATGTATGTAAATAGTTATTTTCTACTTTTTAGTCCACAAGAAAAACGTGGTTTTTTAAAAAGTTTTTTTTAAGTATTTTATTTTCTCCTTTTTAGTCCGTTGCTACACATGAAAAACGTGGTTTTTAAAAAAGTTTTTTATATAGTTTATTTTCTACTTTATCTAATGACTTGATTAAGTATGAATTGACTAAGTGTTTATAAATACACGGACTAAAAAAATCTTGAGCGACCAGGATTCGAACCTGGGTTGTCGCGGCCACAACGCGAAGTACTAACCACTATACGATCACGGCCAGCGCGCTCACATCGATTGGGGCCGAAGTAACTGTGTCTATAAGCCTCCAGTCTTGTCGGTATCTTTAGAAATCATGTCCTCAATTTTATGGTCCTTGGGGCGTAATTAAATTAAGCTAATTACCGTCTCTAATTGCTAGTTTTTATGATTGCATCTGAAATTGTTAGGCGAAAGTAGCCTACATGCCAAATTTCAGATCTATTGAGCAATCAGAAGTGGGTTAATTTTCGATGTCAATTTTAACAACAAACACACGCGAAGCTGAGTTAATAAAAACGTGTTAATATGTTCATTATTTCCCCTCTTAATTACGCTAAAGAGTAAAATTGTTGTGTATTTTATCAGACCAGCGAAGAGTTCACCAAAACTATGAACCGTCTCCGGATCACAGTGGAACCCGGTAACGCCACCACAGGTTCATTCAAGCACGACCTGCCCTCGTCAGTCGACTGGCGACAGAAGGGCGTGGTCACCGATGTCAAAGATCAAGGTCATTGCGGGTCATGTTGGGCTTTCTCCACGACCGGGTCAATCGAAGGTCAACATGCCCTGGCCACTGGCGTACTCGTTAGCCTGTCCGAATCTAATTTAGTTGATTGCTCGACAGGTAGGGAAAAGTGGAAAACATTATTTTTAAACCAACACAATTTTTGATAAAAATAAAAGGTATTTTTTAAAACCATTTTACCTTTCCTTCTTACTTATCAAGTCGTGAAATTCGGGCTGTGATAGAGGAAAAAATGCAGAATAAAAATTTCAGACTGGGGTTTGGGCCCCTTTTAAAATTTTCCGACCACTTGGACACAGTCAGACCACCCTTGAGCCTTGATATCAGCGGTCATTCTAATAAATGCAAGCTAAGGCTAACGCTATTTTAGCTTATCTACCCAAAAGGACTCTACATTCATAAATATCTTTAAAGTCGCATCGCTGAAATTTAAAACATTGGAAATGATTTTCGTTTTACTTTTTTTTTAATTAAAACTACGGATTAATTGTCGCTAATGTATTTTTACGCAGTAAAACAGTTTTTATTGTGAAGCTTTTAAAAAGGCTGCGGCTATTCGTACTTCACTGCAAATAGTCCTCTGAAGGGTATTCGTACTCTGACTAATCAGCGCGAGGCATTTTTCTGTGATTCTTGAATTCCCTTATTCATGCTATGTACGACTAATTGTTTGTTTTTTAGATCTAACCTTATCACAAACCCTAAACATTACTCTAACTCTACCCTAATCACCATCCTAATGCTCAACCCTAATGCTTAACCCTAACCCTAATGCCTAACTCTAAACCCAAATCCTTAACCCTAGTGCCTAACCCTAAACTCTAGTGCTTAACCTTAAGGCCTAACACTAAACTCCAACACAAATGCCTAACCCTAAACCCTAACCCTATGCCTAACCCTAATCACTAAACCTTAAGTAAAATTTAAAAAAAAACACCGAGCCAAAAAGGAATAGAACCCACGCTTCGATAACAAACCAGTCGATGCATAACCACTTCGACCACACAAACAGTTCCTATTTTTCATAAGTCGAGTGTCATACGCAAGAAAAAAATTATGCACGCATGCACAATAAATTTAAAAATAAATGTGATTGCCTTGTGAAGGCTATTTGTAGCAAAGTACCAATAGACACTCCCAAATATGAGTTTATGTTTAAAAAAACATCTATTTCTAATTTGCTTTAATTGCACTCACTGTTTGCAGAAAACCACGGATGCAATGGTGGCTTAAGGTCGACAGCTTTTCGCTACGTCATCAATAATAACGGTATCGATAGAGAGGCCAGTTATCCTTATACGCCTAAGGTAGGAAATAATAGATTAGTGAATTGGATGCATTATAGATTAGTTAACTGAGTGAATTATATATATTTTAAATATTTATTAAAAAAAATATGTATCATTAAGTTTGTAGTAAGTGTTTATTAGGTATTCTTTGTTTGTTTGGGAAAAAGTGACAATGCCATTTTTAAATGAATTTTTATAATAAAGCACATAAAAATTGTTCTATTTTTAAATCTGATTTGTTCTTGTTTTTATTTTTTTTCCCCAGCAAGATACCTGTGCTTTTTCAAGCGCGGCTGTGGGGGCAAAAATCAGCTCCTTCAACACTATAGAAAAGGGCAGCGAGCTCGCTTTACAACAGGCTGTGGCTGGGGTATGTAACGGCCTCGATGGCAGGTCTGTTTGAAAACTCATTAAGCTGATTTTTAAATAAAAATGAATTCGATTATAAGACAAGCTAGCTTGGTTCTAATTTTTTTTATATACGAACGCATGTGTATATTTTACACACACCTTTGAATCTTGTGTTTAGTGTTAGTTCTATGTTAAGTTTAGGAATTAGGCCATGGATAGGTCATGAGCAAGTGCGATTAAAGCTTGAGTTAGGTCTACAGCAGAGGTTGGAGCTACAAGCAGGTGAAGGTTTAGGTTATACTTCAGCAAAGATGTGGAAAATGGTAAAGGATAGTGAACATTTTTCTTACGAGAAATATAGGTACTGTATTGGCTATAGAGTCTATTATACGTAGGAATGATACACTTTTCTGTAGACATCTTTGAACGTTTATTTGACAGGTTGGGTCAGTGTTGCTATAGACGCTAATCACCCTTTTATATTCAGTGCTGCTATAGACGCCAGTCAACATTTCATATTTAGCGTTGCCATAGACGCGTCACCCTTTCATATTCGATGTTGCTATAGACGCCAATCACCCTTTTATATTTTCACTTGACAGGTCGGGCCCATCAGTGTTGCTATAGACGCCAGTCACCGGTCCTTCCAGCTGTATGGTGGGGGTGTGTACTCAGAGCCTGCGTGCTCCAGCACATCACTCGTTCATGCAGTCCTAGTAGTGGGTTATGACACAGACGGCGCTCAGGACTATTGGATTGTCAAAAACAGGTATTTGAGACTGTTGTTTTTGGTTCTGAAATTAGCTTCAGGTGGGGTCTATGCATGAGGGGTCTATTGCATGTTTTTATTTTTACAACCCAAGGTCATGTCTCTGTCTTATGCATCGGGATCATGTTTTTAATGCATCTTGGGTCGTAGTTTTGTTTTTTGCATCTATTTTTTAATGTTTTTGTTTTTATGTCGGGGGGGGGGTCTTGTTTTTATTTTTACATCCTGTGTCATGTTTTTTTTTTTTTTACAACTGGAGTTATGTTTTTGTTTTCCACATCCGGGGTAATGTTTTTGCTTTTATATCTGGGGTCATGTTTTTTTTTTTACATCTGGGGTAATTTTTTGTTTTCCACAGCTGGGGTGTATCTTGGGGACTGAGCGGCTACATCAAGATGATCAGAAACAAGAACAACAATTGTGGGATAGCCTCAAACGCTCTGTACCCCATCGTTTAAAAATCACGAGAATCCCTCTCATTGAAATAGTTTGCACATTTTTCCTAAATCTTTACCCACTATAACTTATATTGCTAACAAATACAATACTAAATATTTACCCATATAAATTATCTAGCTGACTACCACAATACAAAATCCCTACTCCCTATAACTTACCTTGCTAACAACCCTAATACTAAATATTAACCCCCTATAACTTATAATGCTAACATCCACAATACTAAACCCTTACTCTCTATAACTTATCTAGCTTAAAACCACAGTACTTAATCCTTAATCCCTATAACTTACTTTGCTAACAACCACAATACTAAATCCTTACTCCCTTAGCTAACCTTACTATCACACACAAACCTTTGCTTTCCTATTAATCAGATATCTATTTTGCTTTATTTAAAACTTTCCATGACATAGCTTATTGCAGAATTATTTACATGATACTATTATAGTGGTACAGTTATGCTAAATGCACCTAGTTGTAAATTATATATTCATTTAATTAAAAAGGAATTAGTGTAAGTTTTGTTGATTTTTCTGTTTTTATTTATATTTGTGATTTTAATAAAAATTTACAGAAAAAAAGGCTTTTATCAATTATTATTAAAAGTCCGTGACTGCTTAGACGGCCTTTATGAGTGGGTTAAGTGCGGTAAATTCTGGTAGTAAAATATGATTTGTGTATCTGTTCCCCGGGTCGATGGTACTGGTTTGTATTGTACGCTTTCGGTTTCTTTTTCCATTCCTGGCCCAGTGTTTCCGGGAACGTTTTAATAACATAAAAGCATATCGCGCTAAAATACAGTGTGATGTATTTGTGTACATCCGAGTTACATTAATGTGAAGTTAAAAATATTACAGGGTAAAGGACAAATCTCATCTAGGACTACCGCTTCTGTTCGAACAGTGTGAGGGACACACACACGTTCAGCTCACGTCATGCTGTGTGGGGTGCGTGTGGGGGGTGTGTGGTGTGTGTGGGGTGTGTGTGGTGTGTGTGTGGTGTGTGTGTGTGGTGTGTGTGTGGGGTGTGTGTGGGGTGTGTGTGGGGTGTGTGTGGTGTGTGTGTGGTGTGTGTGTGGGGTGTGTGTGGGGTGTGTGGGGTGTGTGTGTGGTGTGTGGGGTGTGTGTGGGGTGTGTGTGGGGTGGGTATATGTTGGGAGCAGGATGGTGTGTGTTGGAGTGTGCTGTGTGTGTGGTGGGTGTACGGTGGGTGTGGGGTGGGAGGTGTGTGTGTGGTGGGAGGGGTTGTATGTGGTGGAAGTGGGGTTAAAGTGTAATGGGAGTAAAGTGAGTGTGATGGGTGTGGGATGGGTGTGGGATGGGAGGGGTGTGTGTGTGTGTGTGGGAGTTTGATGGGTGTGTGGTGGGAGTGTGATGGGTGTGTTCTGGAAGTGGGGTTTGGGTGGGTGTGTGGTGTGAGTGGGATGGGTGTGTGTTGGGAGTGTGGTGGGTGTGTGGTGGGAGTAGTGAGAGTGTGTGGTGGGAGTGTGATGGGTGTGTTCTGGAAGTGGGGTTTGGGTGGGTGTGTGGTGTGAGTGGGATGGGTGTGTGTTGGGAGTGTGGTGGGTGTGGGAGTGTGTGGTGTGGTTGTGGGGTGAGTGTGGGCTGGTATGCGATATCCGTCGTTCAAATGTTTGTATAGAGGAGCAGATGAAAAAGCTTTCGACCAATTAATTTTTTTACTTCCCCCTTCTCCCTCTGTGAGTTCTGCTATTCACATCACTTCTGCGTTGATAAGAAGAAATGCCTTGACCCCAATACTTCGTGTCATAAACATGACATTCAATAACTACCTTTAGACTTCCGCTACCCATTTTAATCAGATCTCAACCATCGTGAAAACCCGAAAAATTGTTTGTTTCGAAATAGAATTGATAACTAGAAGAAGTATTGTATGTATTAGTATAACACACCCAACAGTGTTGTCTTTAACAATAATTTACTTCCTCTAGAAAACTGTTAGAATAAATCGTCAACGTATTGCTCTTGCTAAGGCCTTATAGAGGATTTTAGGGGACTTGTAGAGACTTTATAGAGGCATTGTAAAGACTTTATAGAGGCATTCTAGAGACTTTATAGAGTCATACTAGAAACTTTATAAAGGCATTCCATCGACATTCTAGAAACATCACTAAAAGACTAGCAAAAATGTGGTTTTAAGGAATATTGTAATAACTAATGACAATTCTAGATGAAATATTCTCTATAACAGTTTCTCTAGTAATTATCCACATTTTTGAAAAAAAAATTAGCTTAAATAACACCCCCCCCCCCCCCAAGGATTCGAATAAATAATAACAATGGTACACTTCTTCAAAATAATTTTAAAAAAACGTGAAATTTTTAAAATATCTATTTTACGAGGCTATTATATATATGTATATATATATATATATATATATATATATATATATAATTTTTAGAAATGGGGTCATCCATAAATGATGTCACGCTTTTTTGGACGATTTATACCCCCACCACCCCTCCGTCACACATCGTCACAAAAAGCAAATCCCCTAAAATGACGTCACACCTCTGACTACAATCCCCCTCAAAATTACAGGAACTTTTTTTTTAAAAAAAAGCTATATTTTTCCTAAATCTCGTCAGAACTCTGTCAACATAGAGTATTTTAATCAATTTCTATTACGATTTATTAAAACAGCTTTCTAAAACACAAAATAACGGCAAAAATATTTGTTTTCTAGCATTGTTTTTTTTTTATAAAGCAAAAATGTGACGTCACACGATCTGACCCATTTCACATCTCCCTCATCACACACCGTCACAAAATTACGGACCCCTCCCCCATTCGAGTGTGACGTCATTTATAGACGACTACAATAAATCATAAAATCTATTAATTGCAGACAAGTGCAATTTTTTATAAAAAGTTTAAATTACTTTAAATGTTTATTACAAATCAATATGATGACTATTTAAATGAAATATAGACCATTTTAATCACACCTTTGTTGAGTATTGCAATTAAAACAGTTTTAAATATTCAAGATATTCGTGATATAAGATATGAACGAAATTTTATATTTATTCCTTTATTTATAAGCCCCATTACAGTTATATCTAGAACACATCTAAATAATAGATGGTTTGGAACAGTGCATTTCATGTAGTCGTAAGATGATGTATGGCATATGATGATGGTGTGGGGAGGCGAAGGTGGTTTCAGCTTCTCAACCAATCACTCATAGTTAACCTAAATTCCAACCACGTGTTATTGGTTTACAAGATCAGAGTTAGAAAGTTCATAAATTCTGTGCACAGTGTAGTGGGTGTTTTGTTTATTACGTGAATATTCATAATGAAACTGTAGCCTGCTGGAGACAATTTTGAAACAACATAGAACATTGAGATATAGGTATCCTCAGAACAAGGTAAAAAAATGTACGAAGATGAATAAAAACACTTGAAAAAAAAAACAATGCATGATAACAGAGACGATAAGATATATTAAAACACTGAAACTCAAAAATCTGAAATTTCTTATAATATTGGGGAAAAATGCATTCTAAAACTTAAGACTATTATAAATCAAATTTTGGATATTTTATTAATTTATTTGACTAAATTTCAATATTCTATATAAACTGCTTACTATCTAGAAGGTTTTATAAAAAGAAAAGGGTCATGTGTTCAATCAGACACAGATGTCATATTCTCTTTTAGTTGAAGAACCCTCTTGCAGTACAGCAACATGACTCGTCTGATGGCGATATAGGAAGTGAAGATGGCGACTCCTTGTAAACCGTTCAACACTATGGAGATATACCTGTGGGATAAAGACAGGGGGATTACCAGCAACACTATGGAGATATATCTGTGGGATATACTCAATAATACAAACGCAGAGGTAAACAGTCATACACTAATACACGCATAACAACAATAACAGATAAACAATAACAGATTAACCCGTAGATGTACACACACACATATTATTACGGCGCTTCTCTACCACTGGTAAAGATAACGCACTACCCTAATTCTTTTGGATGGTTTTGGACTGATGACTTACGCAACTAAAAGATTACCAGACAACAAAAACTCTCCGTGAACTCGTATCTAAAGTCTAGGGTAATAACACGAAGACCTTCACAACTAATAATACTTTTAATCAATCCACAAGCTTTTAATATGTATACAAGTCCAAATAATAAATACTATGTAAAGTATTAGAAATATACAAATAATGAAAGACCCAACTTACGAGTTGAAGAATAACACACTGAAACTACTAACACTGGATAAGGTACTTAAGTAATCAACAAAACCTACGCGTTATTAAATTGAGGCACAGAAAAATACTGAATGCACAGGTATTTAGGGATAACTAGAATACCCGTCATCCCTTGGATAACTGAGGGTTTCGGGGGTCATCCATCAAAAAACATCACGTCTGTCACTCAGAGGCATAGCGAGCCTTCCCGGCGCCCGGGGACAAACTTTTCGATTTTAACCCCCCCCCCCCCAAGATTTCGATTTTCAACCCCCCCCCCCCTCAAACTTTTGATGTGCACCCACTCCCCCCCCCCCACTCAAACTTTCGATTTGAACCCCCCTCAACCTTTCAATTTATTTTTCCAAACCATTTTGGCGCCCCAACATACGTCCCCCCCGCCCCCCCCTTCACTCCCCCCCCGCCTCCCCTTTCCCCCCCCCCCCCCGCCTCCCCTTCCCCCCCCCCCCCCCCCCCCCCCCCGCCTCCCCACCCGCCCCCCCCCCTCCTCGCTACGCTACTGCAGTGTCACTTATCGTCACAAAAACAGAGCCCACATTCAAAAATATGTTTCTTATCTTTTAAAAACACCGAAAACACCGATTTCGGACTATCCCTTCATATACTGACGTCACATGTGACCTACTCAACTCTACTTCACCTGCCCAGTGTCCCGCCAAGTCTCAGACAACATGTTTTTATCGTTTAAAAAACGATTCCAGCCGAGCATGTCTCTGACCACACTATCCTTTCATATGGTTAGGACAAAGAAACAGATGAACTCTACTTCACCTGCCCTGTATCCTGCCAAGTTCAGATAGGCAACTTTATCATTAACATCTAAAAAAAAAAAATTGAAAAAAAAAAATCATTTTTTATCATTAACATATAAAAAAAAAAAAATTGAAAAAAATATCATTGACATATTGGTCTAGAACCTGTACCACTCGCATGAGAGCGGACTACGCTACAAACTTAGCTATTTACTCCTGACGTCACAAATGAATTTTTATACTATACTTTGATGCAACTTGATTTCGAGCGTCTAGTCTAGAAGTAGTAACTTTCAAATTAAATTTTATCTTAAATTAGCCAAACAAAGATTTATATAAAATAATTAAGGCCTGAAATAGATTCTAGATGTATTAAGGCCTGAAATAGATTCTAGATGTAGAATTTACATTAAGTCTAGATTTAGAATTTACATTGAGTGATCTAGATCTAGGCTAGATTCATACATTTCCTTCGACAGCTGATCTTTAGATCTAGAGAAATTTATTGTAAAACTAAATGAAAAAAGACAGTTGAAAATTGATATAAGTGTTGGAACGTAATAA